TTAAAAAATTTCTGTTAGAGAATTTAGCAGCAGGAAGGTATTTCTTTAGCACAATTTATAAATGAGAAAAGCTCATTAGATTACTACAGTAAAAAGAAACTTCCTTGAACTCACTGCTGTAAAACTGGTTTCAGCTCCAGAGGACCCTCCTAGGCTGAAACTGCAATGAGAGAAGACTGCCTATATTTCTCACCAGAGGACCCTCCTAGGCTGAAACTGCAATGAGAGGAGACTGCCTATATTTCTCATGCAGAGCTGCTGGTAGATTTGAATCATCAGTGACATTAAGCGTTTAGATCAGCAGTGTGCCAACTTGCTACCCACTTCACCGCTATAGCTCGCTTCAGATTATAATAGCAGATGCCCCAAATCTTTGATCTTCTAATCAGCTTTCAAACAGCAATAGTTAAATAGATATTTGTCAACACTACCATCACAGCTCACTAGAAAAGAAATATCAACTATAAGCAAAATTTAAAAATTAAACACTTGTACAGAAATATTTTGTATTTCTCACTTCAACGACTTATCAAAAGGCATGGAAACTTCTTATGAAGTTGATTTTTAAAAGGTCTGAATATAAGTAAAATGGGAGAAAAAGCAAATGCTTTCCATTCACCAAGTTGACAATCAGTAGTGTTTTTCACATACTGTAAAAAACTTTCCAGCACACCCATGTTTATTGAGGCTTTGTTTGCAATAACAAAGAGCTGGAAACAACCCAAGTGCCCATTAACAAATAGAATAGAAAGAGCAGCTCTTGTATATTCTCACAATGGAATACTATGCAGCACTGAAAAAAACAAGGAACTCGCTAAGTGGATGACCTTAGAGGACATTATGCTGAGTGAAATATATCTGTCACAAAAGGGCAAATATTGCATAAGACCACTATTGTAAAACAGGACACTGGGGTTGAGGGGAAACAGAGAAAACGGGGAGGAATGATGTATACTGCATTGCAACAGATGAGGGAGAGAACTGTTTAAAAGGGATATATGATTAGGTATTACTATCATGACAGGAGTCCCTGCACAGTGCAGTGGAATTGGGGGCAGGGATTGCATAGCAATAAAAGTTTTTTTCGGCTGCCGGGCGGATGCTTCCTGGGCGAGATGCCGGATGCTTCCTGGGCGAGATGTGGAGTGGACTACTGCCTCCTGGCCTAAATGAAAGTGATGTTGAATTGAATTCTGAAGATGAAGCCACACCGGAAAACTCTGCACTTCCCTAACAGGAAGCTGAGGATCAAGTGTCCAGAAAAACAGAAACCTCTGATTTCCCACCAAATGGACCAAAACCGGAAATGGAGGCAAATGTAAATGCCTCTCAAGAGTGCCCTTCTGGAATTCCCTTAAACATGTGGAATAAATTTAAAGAATTGCAGAAAAAAATTTGGAACAGAAAACCTCAGCCTCAGGCTTCAGGTGGAGAAAAGGAAGACGCTGTAGGAAAGGTAAATTGAAGAGTGAAGAAGCAACTCATAGTGAACAGTCCCCAAAGGAAGCACAGTGGAAGGAGCTTACTCAGTATTTTGGAGTCAATGACTGATTTGACCCCCCTGTGAAAAAGAAAAAGATTGACAAGTTGGGTCTTGAAAAGAGAATAGACCAGGCTGTGGATGAGTGGACTATAGAGAAGGCCGAGGAGCTCAGCAACCAGCTCGCTACTCGAGAGCTTGGTGTGAAGACTGCCAAAGCTATTGCCTGCCACAACTTTGTAAAAGCCAAAAAGGATGCTGAAAATTCACAGGTTGTTCGAAAAAAGAAGAAACTTGCATGGGGATTTGAAGCAAAGAAGAGATGGGAAACCAAAAGCAACATGGGCTACATGTAACTTGCTGGTGGGGTTCTTCATGATCTGTCTAGATTCCCAAGCGTGCAATTTACTGAGAAGATTTTCCTGCTTACACTTAAATATACCAGGAAACTGAGAAAAGTGGAAAAATTAAGCATAAAATTTGAGAGTTGATTATCAGACCTTTTCAATCTATTTTTATAAAGCGCTTATCCTATTGAAGCAGAGCGTTCTGTTATGGGTATAAGAAATCTAAGCATATGCACGGTAAGGAACGGCAGGATTCATTTCTGTCTGTGTGTCGACCTGTAATATGAAGTCAGCTTTCCTTCTTATCCCTTCGGTGGAGCCCTGTCATACTATGTTGTCTCTTCTCAGTTTAACACCATCACTGTTGGAGTTTGGTTTTAAGGTTGATATTTGTTGACAATGGATTGGTGTAAGTGCTCAGGAAGCCTCACTTGATACTGTCTTTCACTGATGACTTTGATTACCTAGTGTTGCAAAAGTCATTACTGACTCTTTATTGGGAAGCAGTAGAGTTGGTATTTCATAGTCACATGGTAAAAGCAATTTTTGTGTACCTTCAGATAAAATATTTCAATAAAAACCATCACAGACTGCAGTACTTGGAGGCTGATTTAAATTCAGCTCTGCTGAGAAATGTCTTCCTAAATATCTCGCTCGGCCATGTCATTCTTTAAATTATGAAATAGTTCTTAGAAGAGAAAATGGTATAATTATATTAAGTAGACAGTTAGAACTCAGGACAGCATCGCTTTGAACCTTCTGAGAGCATGGTGTGATTGTTTTCACTCCCTGAAAGATTGAATTCATCAGGCTAAAGGAAGAATGGCCATCATGGGAAGGCATTTCCATTAGATAAGCATTTCAGAGTCCTAACAGGGAAGGGCTTTGAGAAGTCACATAGCAGCCAGCAGAGGAGACTTCAGGCTTTGTCAGGCCCAGGACTTGGGGTGTCTCCCTGCACAGTAGATCTAATGCAGAGCTCACTGTGGTGGTCAGTAGTTTACCTCCCAACCTCAGCCTACCTCAGAGGTTCTGTTGTCTTAACTGTCCAATATAACCATCTCCTGGTGGCTAATAATATAAGTTCAGGAACCTGTGAGTCAGATTATAATTTAAAAAAACCCAAACTCTTTGCTATCAAGTGGGAAACAACCCCTAGCTGACTGACTGTGGGGTTTCCAAGGCTGGAGATAGTGTGAAAAGGGATTGCCTGGGTTTGTCTCCTGGAGCCTTTGGTACATGCTAACTGCCAGTAAGGTGAGATCTTTGGGTTAGCAGTGCAGATGCTCTCACAGACTAATAATTATTTATTTGTTGTTTTGACTAAGAATTATTGATATGTTGTTTTTAGACAGATAGTTACAGCATTATACTAATTTATGGCATATTTAATGTTTCCTTTCTGTTCTATATTAAGTGAATAGCTGATTACTACTTGAGAAAGGAAATATTTTCATATAGTTGAGAAAAGCCAATATTGTGTTGGGAGAGCAGGACTTTAGGAGAATGGGGATTGATTTACAGAATTCATTATCAGAGAGTTGTTGTGCCATTGAGTAGGAACCAGCTCATAGCTGACCCTCCCGCAGGTTTCCAGAGGCAGGAAATCGCTTGGGAGATTACCCATCCCTCTCTCGTAGAGTAGCTGGGAGATTTGAACCACATTTTTTGGGGGAAATTGCAGCAGAGCCTTTTACCACTAGGCCACAAACTCCAGTATCAAAGGGTATCCAGACTGAATATGTAAAGTCTAATTTTTTTTTAATTAATATTCTCTGTTCTCTTGATATATATTTTGCTTACCTAAGACATCTCATTTCAAACGTCTGTACATGCAAGAACACTGCCTGGTGTTGC